GCTCGAGACATCCTCTAATTTTAATTATCGGGCTCGTTATTTATCAGGGAAAAATTCGCCGGCCTCCTTCGACCTCGTTATTTATCAGGGAAAAAATTCGCCGGCCTCCTTCAAGCAGGCACCGGGGGACTTGTTTACAAACTAAAAGAGAACCCTGGGCTTAAGCCCTTTCCGGGAAAAAATTCGCCGGCCTCCTTCAAGCAGGCACCGGGGGACTAAGTTTACAAACTAAAAGAGAACCCTGGGCTTAAGCCCTTTCCGGGACATGATGGACCCACGAACCCGGAAAGGGATATAGACATGCGCAGCATGGTCACGTTTTCACGATACCCAACTGGGCGACATCTCACAAAACATCCCACGAGACACCCCGCGAAACATCCCACGAGACACCTCGCGAAACATTCCACGAGACACCTCGCGAAACGTTCCACGATACACCCCGCGAAACATTCCACGAGACACCCCACGAAACATTCCACGAGACACCCCACGAAACATTCCACGAGACACCCCACGAAACATTCCACGGGGGTGCGACTGAGGTGGGTCGTGCTGGGTGTGGTCGTGCTGGGTGGGTCGTGCTTGGGGGGGTGGTCGTGCTGGGGGGTGGTCGTGCTGGGGCGTGAATCGTGCTGGCATGTCGGCTGGGCGTGGTCTGCTGGGGTGTGGTCGTGCTGTGGTGAGTCGTAGCTGGTGTGGTTCCGTGCTGGGGGGTGGTCGTGCTGGGGGGTGGTCGTGCTGGGGGGTCGTCGTGCTGTGTGAGGTGGTTGTGGTCGTGCTGGGGTGTGGTCGTGCTGGGGCGTGGTCGTGCTGGGGCGTGATCGTGCTGGGGAGTGGTCGTGCTGTGGTGAGGTCGTGCTGGAGTGTGGTCGTGCTGGGGTGTGGTCTTGCTGGGGTGGGGCAGTGCTGGGAAACAAGCGTTTCGCTCGAGACATCCTCAAATTTTAATTCGCCGGCTCGTTATTTATCATGGAAAAAATTCGCCGGCAATTCGCCGGCTCGTTATTTATCAGGGAAAAAATTCGCCGGCAATTCGCCGGCTCGTTATTTATCAGGGAAAAAATTCGCCGGCCTCCTTCAAGCAGGCACCGGGGGATTAAGTTTACAAACTAAAAGAGAACCCTGGGCCCGCGCCCTTTCCGGGAAAAAAACACCCTCGGAAGTTGATGGCATTTGACCAAAGCAAATTGGCCTGGGTAATCTTGATGCCGTTCCGAGTGGACCCCGCGTGTCTTGCGTTTGTTGTGCCCCTTGAGCGGTGCGTCGTTGCCCTGTGTCGTATCAATATGGTCCCACAAGACGAACACTCCCAGTCAAGGGGCGCCATGAAGGGTACACGTCTTTCCTTCTTGTTTTGAACGTCTTCCGCTCCGTCCACCTGGCGACGAAAAACACGCGCGCGCATAGTCTGGACGCTCAGGGGGGGAGGGGAGAATCAGCGGAGGGAGCGACGAGAAGGAGGGCGCTCAGGAGGGGAGAAGAATCCTGAGACGTTCAGATTCCCGCAATCGGGATTTCTCCCACCCACCCCTGGCGATCTGGACCTGGTCCCTGAAGCCATCTCCTCGTAGCGTGTCGTTCTGTCCGATTGCCCAAAGGCAAGAAAACAGTCCCTGGAGGCCAGAGGACAACAGCAAGCCAACGTTTTTCTGTTTTGCGGAATGATGCCTCTGAGGATGGCACTGTGTGGGGGGAGGGCGGTCGTGTGCCCCGCACTTTCCTGGGTGAGAGAATTTCCGAAAACTCCACAACAAAGGCACGCCAGTCGCTGGAAGGATGTATTTCTGGCTTCCCGGATCCCAATATTTTTCAAGCGCCTTCCTACTTCAAGACTCGATCTGTTTTTAATGCGTTGTGTTATTATCTGGGAGGGCCGGAACCCATTCTACTATATCCGCCTCCTTCTTCCATTTGACCTACTTCCGACCGACGGGTACGCATATATCTTCGAGCCCTCCTCTCCCTCCTCCTCATCTTCATCCTTATACCCCGCCTCTCCTCTCACACCTTCCCTGCTGCTCCTCCCCCTCTGCCTGCTCATCCCTCTTCCTCCCCCTCCTCCCCCTCTGCCTCCTCCTCCTCCTCCCCTTCGAAGGGACCCAGCCGCGCCAGTTGCTCGAACTGCGCGACGGGGCGATGGAGGCCTTCATCGACATCTCGGTGGCGGTGGAGCAGGCGGCTGACTGGTCTGCGCTCAGCACGAAAGTGTGTTTCTTGGCCAAGCGCCTCGGCGGGTTTCGGCACATCGCCGTCATCATGGTGCTGGCGTGGGTGCAGACGCGACTTCGCAGGCCTCTAGCGGTCGACTGGGAGCAGCGGAGCGACAGCCAGCTCTTGTGGGCCTCGCGCGGCCGAGGCTTCGAGAGTGCGGTGCGGCAGCAGGCGGTGGAGTGCGAGTGGGCCACGGCCAAGGGCCGCGCTTCGGACGACCCCGAGGCCTGGGTCGCGGTGCTCGTGATGTTGGACCTGCGCATGGCGTACGAGCTGCTGCGCCACCATCAGTTGACCGACGCGGCGATCAAGACATGGCCTCCTTCGTCGCAGCTCAAGTTGCAGATAGAACTGTACCGCGTTCCGCGGCGGTTGGTGCGCGGCGACGTGGTCAGCGCTCCGATTTTCGCCGAGCAGGCAGTGCTTCCAGGCCACGGGCTGGCGACGCTCATATTCAAAATGATCTTGCTGGCGCCGCTGGACACGCTACAGGAGAGCTCGCCCAAGGTGTCCTTCTCCGTGGTGGTGGATGACATCATCCTGGGGCGAACTGGGGGACTGCAGCGCACGGTGCGGGAGGTCTCTGACGCGGCCTACATGTTTAAGACGCTGCTGGGCGACATCGACGTGCGTGTGTCGTCCAAGAAGCCGAGAGCTCTGGCTAACCACCCCGCTGCCAGCGCGGGTTTGGCCCAGCGGTTGCGGCGACCCCTCGGGGTGGTACGCGCAGAGCAGGAGCGGAACCTCGGGGCCAACTTCAGCGGAGGCAAGCGCGTCGGTCGCGCAGTTCGGGCAGAGCGTCTCCAGCTCGTTCACCAGCGGTTCCGTCGAGTGTAAGTGATCAGGACGGGCAAGAGCAGTAAGCAAGCCGCCCGGCGAGTGGCCAAGACGGGGCCGGAGCCCAGCGTGGCCTACCGCGCAGGGGTCGCAGGGCTCGCGCAGGGGGAGCTGGACAAGGCGAGAGCATCACCTTCAGTCCACCACGGCCAGCACGGCCGGGAGAGCGCGCACCCTGGCGTTGATGCTTACGCCAGGCATCGGCCCAGTGATTCACGCCACCCTCGCGCCCATGAAGATGCTGCTGCGCGCGAGGTTGGAAGGCTGGGTGCCTCGCCAAATGATTGATTTCTGCCTCTGTCAATGTCGAGCAACTACCTGGGCGCACGCGCAGGGCCCGCTGTCTGCGGTCGTCGTCGCGCTGCGTCGGTTTGGCTGGGACATCATTGATCTTGATCGTTGGAGGTGTCTTTGTGGGACGGAGGCGCGGCCCTTTGACGCCCCCCCGTGGGTTATCAAGAAGTTGCTGCTGCGCGCCGTCGAGGGTTGAGAGCGAAGGCAAGTCGCGGCCCCCCAGGCTGTGAGAACTTGGCGCGAGGTGGTGCCCTGGAGCCGCCGGTGCGCCCCACGACGACGGGCCTCGTCGACGGCGCGCGCGCGCCCCGAGGCGCGGGCCGGGGGCCGCGCAGGAGTGCGAGGCTCACGCTGATGGAGCGCGGGCACATCGGGTCACTGGCCAGCGACGGCCAGTGGCCGCAGGCGAGGGAGGCGGACAAGGGCGCGGCCCCCATCGGACGACTGCCTTCTCTGCAGCCTGCGCGCGGGGCACGCTGTTGCGCAGGCGCTTCGACTGCGACAGCTGGAAGGGCGTCTTGCAGGCGTCGGCCGCGGCCCGGAGTCTGCGCGAGCGCGCGGACCTCGCCGTGGCCCAGCTGCTGCTGGAGAGGTGTCTCTAGCCAGCGAAGGCGAGCCTCGCCAGGCCCGCCCAGTGCGAGCAGGTGCGCTGGCGAGGACTGCGAAAAGGCGCCACTCCGTTGGGCGAATTTCTTGGGCGGCTCAGCGTTCGAGTCGGCGTTTGACGGCTCTGCTTCGCTTCGGTAGGCTGGAGCGCAGTGGCACTGCGGCCAGTGTCGGACGAGTGCTCGACGGCGGTCTCAGGCCAGTTGTGCCAGCCCTGGGTGGACATCAGCGGCGGCGAGCCCATGGCCTTCATCATGGCGCTGCGCTTCGGGGTTGCCGCGGACGTTTCGGGGCTGCCACGGCCGTCGCCGAGGTCGACTCTAAGTGCGTTTTCAATGGGGCGATGCATGCTGGCCGCCCCATCACCGCTGGCCACTGTCATCCCCGGGCCCACCTCTGGAGAGTCGCTTGGGACTTGATCGACGACGCCGGAGAAAAGGAGGCCCGCGCGCGTTGGATCCGCGCAGACTAGACCCGACGGCAGGTGCTGGACGGGGCCCCACAGGGACTGGCCGGGCAAGAAGTACGCGAACGCGGCGGCCAGATCGGCGGCCGACCACGGGCGTATTCTTCCCAGTGATCGCGCCCAGTTGAGGGCGGAGGGCGGCCTGGTCGACGGCGCAGCCGCGCGGTGCAGCGCCGTTGGTAGGCGGGCCAACGGCGGCGACGCGAGCCACAGGAAGGCGAAGACGCACAGCGCGGTCACGCGGCCGAGCCAGGCTGCAGGCGAGGCCGCGACGAGCGCGCGCGATCTGCGGGGCTCGCCTGGTCAGCAGATGGCTGCGACGAGGCGGAGAGCGTCCGGGCACCATTCCTCTGGCGGCGCTGGCTGCCAACCGACGCTTTCGCAAGCCGCCGCCGCCGCCTGGCCATGATCCAGCACCAGGTGAGCGGCCAGCTGACGTGCGCGATGCCGCGGGCGCGCTGAGTGCCTCGAGCTTCGCGGACGGGCGCGGGGCGCCGCCGTCTGCGAGCCGGACGGCCCCGGCCTGGCTCGCCGACCAGATGGCGCCCGCGCTGGGCAGCCGCGCCCCCCGATCTTCTTGCAGGACCTGCTGGCGCGGTGGAAGGCGAGTTGCAAGAGCCCCTGAGGGCGCCGCCGCGGTCCCAGAGCCCCAGCGGCGGCGGCGCCGGGGCGCTGGGCGCCTCGCGCCTGGGCGGGGGGCATTCGAGCGGCGAAGCGGAGGACGGGCGCCCAGGGTGTCGCCGCACCCCCCCATGCCGCATGCGAGGCCAACTGGGTTGACGCGGGGGGTGGCGGCGGCGGCGGGCCGCGGAGAGGGGGGGGGTGCCGCCGGCGCGGCGCCCCCAGGGACCGTCGCCGCGGTCAGCCCGACCTGCGTACGACGGCAAGGTGCCTGAGGCGGCCGCCGCGCAGCGCTCGCCGCCTATCGCCGAGGCTGTGTAGCGGCGGGCGTCGGGGTAGGAGTTGGGGGCGGGCCCGTCCGACGTGGCCCCCGGGGGGCCACGCGCCTCGGGCGGTCGGCTGGATCTGCTTCGGCCCCGGCCACGGCAGCCCGAGTGGCTTGCCACCGACCCATGTCCTGGGGCGCCGCCTGGCCCGAGGGCCTTGCGGTGGACTCTGGCCGTGGTTGGCGCTTGTGGGCAGGCGCCAAACGCGGTTGTAGTCCTACGGCGTCGGTCTGTCCTCGTCGCCAGGGTTGCCGTGTGTGTGTGTGTGTGTGCACAGCGAGCGGATGCGGCCTGCCTGATTGGCCGCCTCCAGGTCCGCTCGTGCGCGTCCTCTTCGTACTCCTCTTGCTCCTCCTCCTCCTCCTCCTCCTCCTCCTCGTCCTCCTCCGCCCTGGAGCGAGAGGCCGCGCCCGACCAACGCCGGGCGCGATCGACTCGTTGCTCGGCGCGCCAGCCCTGACATCCGGCTGCTCCAGTGTGTTCGATGCGTGGGCCCCGGAGGTCTGGGCCATTTCCCTGGGGCCAGCTTTTCGCCCCGAGTCGTTTGTTCACGTTCCCGAGCCCCACGAAGACCCCCGGGGTCCGAAAAATTATAAGTATTGGCTGATCCAGTTGTATCGGGGCGTCGAATCTCTGGGAACTTCAGACGCGGTCGACTCGTTGGCCGGCGCGCCCAACAGAGCCACGAACGATTGACGGGGTTGTCTCGGGCGGGTGGTAGTGCGGGGTGACTTGCATGGGGGTAAAGAACAAGACCTCCAAGAAGCCCTTTGAGGCCCCTTGTGAGCCCCTGCTGGCTCCAAAAGGCCTTGCAGGGCCCTTTTAGGTCCCTGTTTCTTCATCCCCCACTGTAGGTTACACCCAATTGCCAAGGGCGCCCCGAGGGCGCGAAATTATTCGCGCTTTGCGGTTCGCGGTTCGGTCCCGATTACTCATGCCGTTCTTTTTCCCTGGGGAGCGGCGCGGGGGCGCGAAACTTGTTCGCGTTTCGCGCAGCGCGAATCGCGAAGTTTGGCGCCCTTGATTTCCACCCGCCCGGCTGGGCGCCCCCACGGCGACGCGAGGAAGGCAGGCCGCGCTTCCTCCGCCCTGGAACGCAGCACGGGCCTGACGAATTCGCGCCGGGCCTCCGAGCAGCCCAGGCGGGGCTTCGAGGGTGGCGCTCTTCGGGGGCGGAGACGCGACAGACGGCGCCAGCGCCCATGAGATCTTGGCGCCTCAATTTTTCGAGCCAGGCGTGTCCCCCCAGATTCGCGCCCCAGGACCCTCACAGATCGATCCAGCTCGAGAAATTGCGCTGAAAGACAGGGCCCCGAACTTCAACCGCGATGTTTCACATTTTCACGTGAAGAACCGGGTCACCGCATCGTTTTTGGACTTGGGTCGTTCTCCGAGGTCTCGGGCGACCTGCGAGGCCCCAAAACCATGGGGAGGTCCCAAAACCGTGCGGACGGACCCTGCGGTGAGGTCTTTGCGGATTTCGAGGTCACCGCCGGGTCTGTCACTCTCGAGGAGCAGCAGCCCAGAGATCCGACGTTCCGAAACATGATGGACCCACGAACCCGGAAAGGGATATAGACATGTGGAGCATGGACACGTTTTCACGATACCCAACTGGGCAACACCTCACGAAACATCCCACGAGACACCTCACGAAACAGCCCACGAGACACCTCACGAAACATTCCACGAGACACCTCACGAAACATTTCACGAGACACCCCGCGAACATTCCAGAGACCCCAACGAAACATTCCACGAAAAACCGACAGGCAACCACTCAACCAAGGCGGTGTGGTCGTGCTGGGGAGTGGTCGTGCTGGGGTGTGGTCGTGCTGGGGGTGGTCGTGCTGGGGGGTGGTCGTGCTGGGGGGGTGGTCGTGCTGGGGGGTGGTCGTGCTGGGGCGTGGTCGTGCTGGGGCGTGGTCGTGCTGGGGCGTGGTCGTGCTGGGGCGTGGTCGTGCCTGGGGCGTGGTCGTGCTGGGGGGTGGTCGTGCTGGGGGTGGGTCGTGCTGGGGTGGTGGTCGTGCTGGGGAGTGGTCGTGCTGGGGTGTGGTCGTGCTGGGGGGTGTCGTGTGGCTGGGGGGGGTCGTGCTGGGGGGGTGGTCGTGCTGGGGGGTGGTCGTGCTGGGGCTGGTCCGTGCTGGTGGCGTGGTCGTCTGGCGTGGTCGTGCTGGGTGTGGTCGTCTGGGGCGTGGTCGTGCTGGGGTGTGTCTGCTGGGGGGTGGTCGTGCTGGGGTGTGGTCGTGCTGGGGGGGTGGTCGTGCTGGGGGGTGGTTGTGCTGGGGCGTGGTCGTGCTGGGGCGTGGTCGTGCTGGGGCGTGGTCGTGCTGGGGTGTGGTCGTGCTGTGGTGAGGTCGTGCTGGTGTGTGGTCGTGCTGGGGTGTGGTCTTGCTGGGGTGGGGCCGTGCTGGGTGTGGTCGTGCTGTGTGGGGTGGGGGGTTTGTGGTCGTGCTGGGGTGGGGTCGTGCTGGTGTGTGGTCGTGCTGGGGTGGTCCGCACCCTGTGATTTATCGATCGGGTCGTGCTGGGGTGTGGTCGTGCTGGGTGTGGTCGTGCTGGGGTGTGGTCGTGCTGGGGTGTGGTCGTGCTGGGGTGTGGTCGTGCTGGGGCGTGGTCGTGCTGGGGCGTGGTCGCTGGGGTGTGTCGTGCTGTGGTGAGTTCGTGCTGGGTGTGGTTCGTGGGCTGGGTGTGTGTGAGGTCGGGATTTAAAAACAAGCGTTTCGCTCGAGACATCCTCGGCAAACTCTGCGGAGCAAGCGTTTCGCTCGAGACATCCTCAACACACGAAAAAGTGGCCCGCACCCTGTGATTTATCGATCGGGATTTCAAAAACAAGCGTTTCGCTCGAGACATCCTCAAATTTTTATTCGCGGGCGCTCAAAAACAAGCGTTTCGCTCGAGACATCCTCAAATTTTAATTCGCGGGCTCGTTATTTATCAGGGAAAAATTCGCCGGCCTCCTTCGACCTCGTTATTTATCAGGGAAAAATTCGCCGGCCTCCTTCAAGCAGGCACCGGGGGACTAGTTTACAAACTAAAAGAGAACCCTGGGCTTAAGCCCTTTCCGGGAAAAATGGAGTGGCTGGTTTTGAACTGTTTTCGGCCTCCTGGGGCCCTCGCCAGGCCTGGGGGGCGTCGATGAACGAACGACTCGGGGCGAAAAACCGGCCCTTGCGAAGTAGTCCAGAACTCCAGGGCCCACGTACCGAACATGATGGACCCACGAACCCGGAAAGGGATATAGACATGTGGAGCATGGACACGTTCTCATGATACCCAACGGGGCAACACCTCACGAAACATCCCACGAGACACCTCACGAAACATCCCACGAGACACCTCACGAAACATTCCGCGAGACACCTCACGAAACATTCCAGGAGACACCCCGCGAAACATTCCACGAGACACCCCACGAAACATTCCACGACGACAGGCAACCACTCAACCACGGCGGTGTGGTCGTGCTGGGGAGTGGTCGTGCTGGGGTGTGGTCGTGCTGGGGGTGGTCGTGCTGGGGGGTGGTCGTGCTGGGGGGGTGGTCGTGCTGGGGGGTGGTCGTGCTGGGGCGTGGTCGTGCTGGGGCGTGGTCGTGCTGGGCGTGGTCGTGCTGGGGTGTGGTCATGCTGGGGGTGTGGTCGTGCTGAGGTGTGGTCGTGCTGGGGTGTGGTCTTGCTCGGTGTGGTCCGTGCTGGGGTGTGTGGGTCGTCTGGGTTGTGGTCGTGCTGGGGTGTTGGTCGTGCTGGGGGTAGTCGTCGCTGGGGCGTGGTCTGCTGGGGCGTGGTCGTGCTGGGGTGTGGTCTTGCTGTGGTGAGGTCGTGCTGGGGTGTGGTCGTGCTGGGGTGTGGTCTTGCTGGGAGTAGGGTCGTGCTGGGCGTGGTCGTGCTGGGGCGTGGTCGTGCTGGGGCGTGGTCGTGCTGGGGTGTGGTCGTGCGCTGGTGAGGGTTCGTGCTGGGGGTGGTCCGTGCTGGGTGTGTGAGGTCGGGATTTTCAAAAACAAGCGTTTAGGGGGGGGGGGGGGGGGGGGGGGGGCCTCGAGACAATCCTCAAATTTTAATTCGCCTGCCTCAAAAACAAGCGTTTCGCTCGAGACATCCTCAAATTTTAATTCGCGGGCGCTCAAAAACAAGCGTTTCGCTCGAGACATCCTCAATTTTTAATTCGCGGGCTCGTTATTTATCAGGGAAAAATTCGCCGGCCTCCTTCGACCTCGTTATTTATCAGGGAAAAATTCGCCGGCCTCCTTCAAGCAGGCACCGGGGGACTAGTTTTCAAACTAAAAGAGAACCCTGGGCTCTTGCCCTTTCGGTAAAAACCAAAAAAACAACAAACAAACACAAATGTTTTAACAAAAAAAAAAAAAAAAAAAAAAAAAAAAAACAAAAAAAAAAAAAAAAAAAAAAAAAAAAAAAAAAAAGTGACCGGAAAGGGATAAAGACATGTGCAGCATGGTCACGTTTTCACGATACCCAACTGGGCGACCTCTCACGAAACATCCCACGAGACACCCCGCGAAACATCCCACGAGACACCTCACGAAACATTCCACGAGACACCTCACGAAACATTCCACGAGACACCCATTGAAACATTCCACGAGACACCCCACGAACAGGCAACCACTCAACCAGACACGCCACAAAACATTCCACGGGGGTGCGACTGGGTGTGGTCGTGCTGGGGTGTGGTCGTGCTGGGGTGTGGTCGTGCTGGGGAGTGGTCGTGCTGGGGTGTGGTCGTGCTGGGGGGTGGTCGTGCTGGGGTGTGGTCGTGCGGGGGGGGTGGTCGTGCTGGGGGGTGGTTGTGCTGGGGCGTGGTCGTGCTGGGGCGTGGTCGTGCTGGGGCGTGGTCGTGCTGGGGTGTGGTCGTGCTGTGGTGAGGTCGTGCTGGGGTGTGGTCGTGCTGGGGTGTGGTCTTGCTGGGGTAGGGTCGTGCTGGGGTCGGGTCGTGCTGGGGCGTGGTCGTGCTGGGGTATGGTCGTGCTGGGGTGGGGTCGTGCTGGGGTGGGTTCGTGCTGGGGTCTGGTTGTGCTGGGGTGTGGTCGTGCTGGGGTATGGTCGTGCTAGGGTGGGGTCGTGCATTTCGCTCGAGACATCCTGCCAAAATTCCAGGAAATCGTACAAAAATATCAGGGAAAAATTCGCCGGCCTCCTTCAAGCAGGCACCGGGGGACTAGTTTACAAACTAAAAGAGAACCCTGGGCTCTGGGTGGGTGGGTGCTTGGGTGGGGTCGTGCTTGGGTGGGGTCGTGCTGGGGTGTGGTCGTTCTGGGGTGTGATCGTGCTGGGGTGTGGTCGTGCTGGGGCGTGGTCGTGCTGGGGTGGGGTCGTGCTGGGGAGTGGTCGTGCTGTGGTGAGGTCGTGCTGGGGTGTGGTCGTGCTGGGGTGTGGTCTTGCTGGGGTGGGGCCGTAGCGTTTCGCTCGAGACATCCTCAAATTTTAATTCGCCGGCCTCAAAAACAAGCGTTTCGCTCGAGACATCCTCAAATTTTAATTCGCCGGCGCTCAAAAACAAGCGTTTCGCTCGAGACATCCTCAAATTTTAATTCTCGGGCTCGTTATTTATCAGGGAAAAATTCGCCGGCCTCCTTCGACCTCGTTATTTATCAGGGAAAAATTCGCCGGCCTCCTTCAAGCAGGCACCGGGGGACTAGTTTACAAACTAAAAGAGAACCCTGGGCTTAAGCCCTTTCCGGGAAAAATTGGAGCGGCCGGAAGTTTGGGGAGACGCGGCAGACGGTTAGCGCCTCTCCAGCGAGACTGGCCGGCGGGCCGCCCCCGCCGCCCGGCGGGCAAGTTAGGATTCGCTTCCCCGGGGCCCTTTCTCGGGAAGCCGAAGGACGCCCTGACCATTCCAGCGGCGCCCTTTGCGAGTTTGCGGCTGCTTCTTCCGCAATCCTCAGCATGTCCTCCGAAGTCCCAATGGTTTATAGAAAGAGTCCTCAGGAACTCAAATCGATGTCCCTTGGAACTACATTGGTTTCCCAAAACCAGGAAATGCGTTTGCACCTCAGGGTTCTGATTTGCGCTGCTTCAGTAATTGTTCGGGTCTGCCAAGGATTTTCCACGTTGCTGCCTCGTGGGCAGTCGCGGGCGTTCCGTGCGCTGGGTGTGTCCGCCGAGGTCTCGCCATGTTGCCGCCCGTGCCGCCTCGGCGGTGCTCGTGGGTGCCCCCCTGCGCTGAGTGGGTCCGCTGGAGTCGCGCCACGGTGCCGCTCGTGTCGCCTCCTTGGCGTTCGTGGGCGCCCCCTGCGCCTGGTGGGTCCGCCGTAATCGCGCGCCACGGTGCCGCCCGTGCCGCCTCGTGGGCGCCCCGCGCGCTGAGTTTACACCACGTAGCCTGCACCGCACAGTTTACACCACGCAGCATACAACGCATAGCTCGCATCACACTACATGCATCCACCTTCCAAAACAAATCGGGTCTATCACTCTCCCGCGATCGGTGCTAAGCGTCACCACTGGGATCATACAATTTACATGATTCTGTCTCGTCGCCCATTTCCCACATCCTACCACCCCTGCCAAACCGGCATCGCCCCCCCCCCGCCATCTCTTGCAACAGATACCATGCAGCACACATGCGTTGATCTTATTTTTCCCGGCGAAAGACCCAACCATATACACTTGTGAATGTCGCGTTCTGGGTACCGCTCTCGGTGGAGCTCCCTACGCAGCCACAATCCTCGTGAGGGGTGTGCCGAAATGGGCGGGGGGACGCATGCGGACCCTGCCGCTGGGGGCCTTCGGTGGAGCTTACAATGGGGACACGATCCTCGTGAGGGGTGTGCCGAAATGGGAGGGGGGACGCATGCGGACCCTGCCGCTGGGGCCTTCGGTGGAGCTCTCTGTGGGGCCACGATCCTCGTGAGGGGCGTGCCGAAATGGGCGGGGGACGCATTCGGACCCTGCCGCTGCGGCCTTCGGTGGGGCTCCCTGTGCGGCTACGATCCTCGTGAGGGGTGTGCCGAAATGAGCTGGGGGACGCATGCGGACCCTGCCGCGGGGGCCGTCGGTGAAGCTTCCTATGAGTCCACGATCCTCGTGAGGTATGTGCCGAAATGGGCGTGGGGACGCATGCGGACCCTGCCGCTGGGGCCTTGGGTGGGGATGGATTCCTATGGGGCCACGAAACTCGTCAGCGGCGTGCCGAAATGAGCGGGGGGACGCATGCGGACCTTGCCGCTGGGGCTTTCGGTAGAGCTCCCAATGGGGCCACAATCCTCGTGAGGGGTGTGCCGAAATGGGCGGGGATGCATGCGGACCCTGCCGCTGGGGCCTTCCTTCGGTGGAGCTCCCTACGGGAACGCGATCCTTGTGAGGAGTGTGCCGGAAGTGGCGGGGGGACGCATGCGGACCTTGCCGCTGGGGCCTTTGGTTGAGCTCCCTACGTGGCCACGATCCTCGTGAGGGGTGTGCCGAAATGGGCGGGGGGACGCTGCCGCGGGGCCTGCGGTGGAGCTTACAATGGGGCCACGATCCTCGTGAGGGGTGTGCCGAAATGGGAGGGGTGTCGCATGCGGACCCTGCCACTGGTGCCTTCGGTGGAGCTCCCTATGGGGCCACGACGAATCGTGTGACGTGCGTGCCAGAATAGGATGGGCATGCGGAGAGCAGAAGCAATTGATGGGAGGAGCGAGGAGGGGGAGGGGGCAGCGGGAGGTGAGGTGAGGTGACGCGGGGCGTTGTCTCTTCAAAGCGACGCGCAACGACACAGGATGGTTGGAACAATAATGCGGTTGCGACGAACTCGATGCAATAGCAAGACGGGGAACATGCGCGCGCCGCTGCGTGCACACGTCAAAACCCGTCAAACGGAACGTTGGCACGTGTCCATGCCAAGCCATTGTTGATCACATGGAATCCAACACACTTTTGGTTTTTTCAGTAAACATTTGCCTGACTGTTGCGCGCGCTCGCTAAATGCTCATGAAGAACGAGCTATTCTGTCAAATCGGACCATTCGGGCCACTCGCGCGCACAAATCGAAAACGTTGAACCACGATCGCGCGCCCACCACATTTACGAAGCACTTGCATGCAAGCTGGCGATAAGGATTTTCCAATGCACCCAGTTACCGGGACTGCGCGTCCCATACGCCTGCCTTCTGAGAGGACCGCCCCACAGGGGTTGGAATGCTGGTCGAATCGCATCATCGCATTGCATTCCATGCAAACCACAGGCGCACGTTTCCGCGTGCACACGAAAAAAAGTCATGCCAGGAGGCCCTGTCCCCGCGGATGCGCAGTCTCTCATCGTCCTTATCTGCGCAAGCGTTGCAGTCATCGGCAGCGTCCCCATCGCCGTCGTCATCGCCATCCTCCGCATCATCATCACCATCGTCGAGATTATCACGCCGCCGTCATCGTCCACGTCGTCGCCGTTGTCGACGTCATCATGACGTCGTGCCCGCCCAGCCTACTGACCCGCAGTGACGCGCCCGCCCGCCAGCGCGGCCTTTGAGACGCGCTGGGGCGTTCCCATCGGGAAGTGCCATCGCAGCCGCGTCATCTATGCCAAAAAAACAAGTTGATCTGCGCGTGAGCAGGCTCGCGCCCCTCGCGGCCGTAGAGGTGGTCTACCAAATTCCAGCCGGCAACCGCAACCGTCGCCAAACGGGCTGTGCTAAACAATTTGCGGGCGGGAGGATAATATGCTTGTGCGAGCATTGGAGCTGGCGGTTGTAATTTCCAATGTAGAATTACGAACGATGCTTGAACCGCACAGAGTTCACCTCCAGCCGGCGCCACATAGACTTCGCGACATAACCTGTATCACCTAGACACCGCATATCCTGCATCGCCATAGCCCCCGCCACATCGGCAACGTAGCACAAACTACGCAACATATATTCCGCCGCGTAGGGCTCACTTCCATTGCGCAATAATTCGCTGTGTCGGGCCCGCGCTGGCGAACATTGGAACCCTGGGGGGTTCCCGGGGCCCGCCAGGGATTTGCGTGGGGGTCCCAGCCCAACGGGTGTTTCTGAGGATAGTAATGTATCCTGTTTGAGATTTGAAAGCTCCTTCGGGAATCTCACAGGATATGTCCAGATATTTTAGACATATTCAGAATATTTGTTCATAATTATGTCGCGTGGGGCTCCCTGCTGCTCTCGATACCCTCCGCGCCCTGGAGATTTCCCCCGGGGCCTTGAGGGCGCGCCCTGCAATGCCCGGGGGTTCCCCCGCGAATCTGCAGGCCCCTCGACGGAATTCCGCGTGGATTTTTTATGGAATGCAGAAGAATTCCAGAGAAATCCCCCGGACTTCGGGCGCGACCTGTCAAGGGGGGAGGCCCCCCGCCGCCGATGTGACGCAGATGCGCCGCCCCCTCGCAGGTCCCTTGCCTGCGCGCGCAGGGCCCAGCAGCGCGGCGAAGCGCCGCCGTCGCGGGGCGAAATCCCCCGCCGATCGCGCAGCGAGGCCCGCCATCGACCCGCAATCCCCAGCCGCGTCTCGGGCCGAGCCCCCCCCGCCCGCCGCGAGGCGGCACCCGCAAGCGGGCGCCGGAAGCGGGCCGCGCGGACGCGACGGCGCTACCGCATCCTCTTTCGACAGGGCCACGCGGGGATAAGGGTCGATGAGAAAAATTTGGCCTCGTGCGCGCGCAGCGCGTCCGCGGGCGGGCCTGGGCGCCCCCGCCCCCCCCCCCCTCGCCCCCCCCCCCCCCCCGCCCGCTTTCCTTTCCCCGCGCCCCCCTCTCTTCCGTCGACATATTTTCCCGCCCCTCCCCTGCGCATTTGTCCGTGGCCGCTTTTGTTCAACGTCGTGTGTCCTGCAGGAGAACAAGTGGATGCCGCTGGTCTGCGTCCAGCCCCCCAGCGCATCTGCGTCGTCGATCCTCGCGGCGAGCTGTTCAATTGCCGCGAGCCCGCGGGGTCTGTCGCGCTGGGCGAGGGGCGGCAAATGGAGGCGTTCCACGTTCCTGCACAACGCAACGCCACGCCCGAGATCAAGAGGCTCGGCCCCCGCAACACGCGCGGCAGGAAGCGCGCGAGAAAGGCCAGCGGCGAAGCTGGGCGCGTTTTTTAAAACGAACTGTGCGACGACCCCGGCATTTATTTCCACAGTGAACCCGCGGCCCCCCTGGCGATGGTCACCCTTCTGCAGCTATTGCTCCCGTTCCTAGTCGCAGTGATCACGTTGCCGAGGTGGGTGGCATGGACGCGCGGGGCGAGGGCGACGACGGCCAGACCGAATACTTCCGCTTCGCGGCAGAGGAGGAGACCGCCAGGGTCTTCGAGGACTACAAGCAGACCGTGCTCAACGCAGTCAAGTCCGCGGTCGACGACGCCGCCAGCCTCTTCGAGGAGTAGCTCGTGTCCCACGGCAAGGACGTGGCGAAGCTCGCTGAAGGTGCTCGGTTTCTACTGGCATTGCGGAGCGGAGCCTTTAGTTTGCCGCGTCGCTTACTTCGCCTGGAGCACGCTGGATCTTCGAGCGCGTCCTTCGAATCTTGGAACGCGAGGGCGCTCCCCCAGTGCCTTGGCAAGCGCTCCATCGGCAAGCTGAAGTGCCTCGAGCGTCTGGATTGTTTGAATAGCGCGGCGTGGCTGGCGTGCAGGAGCCACATCAAGATGCGATCCAGCTACAGGACTTTGTTGGGGAAGTCTCTCCTGGCCTGCGCGCCGGTGCCAGCTGCTGCGAGGACTCGTTAGGGAAAGGAGGTGCAGCCGCCGTCATCCCCGCGCGCTGCCCCGCGGCTGCCCCGCCCCCCGAGCTGGCCCTTGGGCGAGCTCTTCGCCCCCAGCTTGATTGGCTCGATCGCCGACTCATCCATTGCAGCGCACGCA